GTCCTGGCGGCAGTTGTACCTGAATAGCGGGCATGTCGTAGTCAGTGGACACTTCGATTGGAATTGGGATTACCCAATACATATTAGTATAGCTGAAAGAAGCTATAGATCCATGGGAAGATTTTTAAGTGAACGTCTGCACATGGGCGGTGTGAGAAGAAATCCTTCCTGATCATGGGCAAGGGTACTCTAGAGTACTTTCTGGTTTTTGATATCTGTGTGATAGAGAATCTCAATCTCTGAGACCCTCTATCTCAATCTCTCACTCATCATTATCAGTTCTCCAACCTGTTTTTAATCTACTGTTCTCTCTCTCACTCGCTCTCTCTTTCTCTCTCTCTCTCTCTCTCTCCCGCTCGCTATATTCGCAATATCTTTTTTCTCAATATCTCTCTCTATCTCTCTGTCTATATATTTTCTGTCTCTCTCCCTCTAAAAGTTCTCTGTTGTAGAACATTAAAAAATATTGTCTTCTGCATGCCATAAATACAATGATGTATCGAGCTGCATAGCTCTAGGTGCTGAGACAATTGTGATTCGAGACTGCTCTCTCGATGTTCAATGACCTGAGCCACTTTGAGCACCCAAATGGCCAGCACTAGTACTATATGAATGTAAAGCTCTAATTCCCAACTGGAATGTGCATAGACACGAGCAACATTTACCATAAATACACATGTGTATATCTTTATGATAGATAATCTATATATGCGTGTATTGTCGACCCATTGCTCATGCGAGTGGCAAAACTTCGAGTGGTTCAAGTCAATGTGTGTGCCTCTTTCTTTTTTTCTCTTTCTTTTTTAGTTTTTTTTTTTATTAGAAATTCGTTTTTATTTTATATATTTTTTACGAGGTCTAACGGAAAGAATTTCCTAAGCGTGAAATTAAATTTGACTAGCGCCCGCGTCGATATCATTTTTATATTTTTTTTTTTTTTTTTTTTTTTTTTTGATTTTCGGGGAGGCTTTCATAAAAAAAAAAATGAAACAAAAAAGGGCTAGCCATACAATAGAGCAAAAGTCCTAGCTCTTCCAACTATTTATTATCATTTTTTTTCTTTTCTGGTTTCTCTCTGCCACTCTCTTCTTTTCTGTGTGCCTCGGCTTCTTTTTTTGCCAATTCTATTATCTTTTATTTGGCTGCACGCAAAGCAAAGCGAAGCGTAACAAAAGTGATGTCCACTATGGATTTTTACTAGGCACTAAAATTATATTTTCATTGTTATCTATATGTACATGTGTGTGTGAGTGTGTGTGGATGGGTGTGCGTGTGGGTGAGTAAGTGGCCTATGTAAATAGAGCCGGCAGCATAGTCGAATAGTCGACGGAGAATTTCATAGTGGATGGAGTTGTTCAGGAGCGACCGCGGAACACACACATCGATGTCACCCACACGAACAGCTGCGGCGTACTGAAAGCACGAACCGAAGTTTTGAGTTGAGTTTGCAATTCGTGGCAACGTCGCTGTGGTGAGTTTCGACCAACGTCGGCAGGCGTGCGAGAGAGCTCTTGGAAGTGCCAAAGCAACAGTTGGTCGTTGGAAGCATTGGAATAATTGATGACTTGATGGGCAGATGGCTTAAGCCTGTCAAGCAGTTGACAGTTGTCCGCTATAATCTCTTGCTAGTGACCAGCAAATAAAAAAAAAAAAAAACAAATGAAATAAAATAAATAAATAAGATACATACATATATCAAAACAAAACAAAGTTTGTCTTTTGACCTTGATAGGAGAGCGCATAGCTGCCAAAATTTTTGCTTTGCCTAGGGTATTCAAAGAAACGCTCGAGTGCAAATTTTAGATTTTATTCGCAGCTAATTCCGTAAGCCGATAATATATTACTTTGGAGTATATTTTCACTCAAAAATAAATTTAGATTGAAAAGAAATAGTCAACAATAGACTTTAGATGAAAATTTATGTTAGGTATACCCTATAAAAGCAGTTATTAACATTCATATTTATAATTCGAGTGAAGGTAATTGTTCAAAAATGATGCATAAATACATATAGGGAATATTGTGGTCGGTCAATTGTAGCTATACCACTCGATGATTTCCATTCATAAAATATTTTCAGGTTTTTCGTTTCGCTTCACTTACTAGAGCGCCACAGGGTATACGACGGTACGGCACGCCCCGCCAAAGCAGTTTTGGACCATTTTTTTGTTGCCTTTCGTTTCGACGGGTTTTGTGGCACGCAAATGAATATACATGTATTTTTAATTCGCAAAGATATTGAAAACACGAAGCCGATAAAATATTTTTACAAATACCAAAAGCCGACATTTTGCCAACTGCATATTACGTTATGCATATTGCATTTGCGACGAGTGCACAGCGGAATGGAACGGAGCGGAGCGGAACGGAACGGAACGGAATGGTGCGGCGCGGAACGGGTCCACACGCAGCAAACTGTGCGGCTTTGCGCGGCTTAGTTGACGCGCAGCGAACAACAGATGGCGCTGCGCAGCGAGTTACAGTTAACCGAAGAGCAAATCACTTAAGCTTCATTGAAACGCATTACACACAAATCAAATATACATATGTACATGTTTGCATACATACATATGCAAATGCACAGTTTTTTATCCAGCCCTTAATCGCTTTTAGCAGGTGCGAGCACATACTACGCACCCCATGCGAATTGGCCAGGCTAACAAAGTCCGTTGGCATTTTTGCCCCCAAACGCCATAAAAGTTGATCAGAAATTGTCTCGCCTATTATTGGGGCCATGTAGCCAGCCGGCCTTTGCTGTTTAGGCCCAGTTGGTCGTCATCTCTGGTCCAGCTGACGGAACGTATTGTGGGCGGGGCAGCTGGACTGCGGCCCAAAAAAATTAAAAAGAATAATTAAATAAAATCAACCAAGAGTGCTCTGGTCGAGGCTGCTCGACTCGAAATAGCATACCCTGCCTACACACATCTTGAAAATAGCTAAAAGTTTCAGACAACATTTTCTAAGAGAATATCCCATCAATAAAAACTTAAAAGATATATTTTTCTAAACACACGAAAGTTAGAAGAAGTAAGTACAGCAAATGCCAAAAGCTTTGCCTTTTATCAATGTTTTGACACTTTGCTCGTAATCAATAAAATGTGTTAACAAATGAAATTCAAAGAAATGTAACTGACAAAAATTTGCAATATTTTACATTGAAGTAAAATAAATATAAAATAAAACAGAGACAAAGACTCTAGTCGAGACTGCTCGACTAGGAGATACCCTGAACCCTCCAAGCTGA